ATTTCCGACCCGGACAATTTTAGGGGTCTACACCTACTACCCAAACCAAAAGACTTTGAGTGGACCGACCAATGTGAAGAAGCTTTCAAAGGCTTCAAAAGTTTTCTTGCAACCCTACCAGTCTTACAGAGGCTGGATCATCAGTCTAACCTCCTCTTGTACTTGGCAGTGGCCGAGAATGTAATCAGCGCGATGGTAGTACAAGAGCACATCAAGAAGCAAATCCCTATATATTACATTAGTCGAGTTCTCTAGGACACGGAGAAAAGGTACCAAACAATTGAAAAATTGGTCTTAGCACTAGTCACATCGACCTAACACCTCCGACCTTATTTCCAAAGTCACCAGGTCATGGTAAAAATAGACTACCCGATCAAACAAATATTGAGAAAGCTTGAACTCGCAGGATGCATGATTGTGTGGTCAGTAGAGTTGTCCGAGTTTGGAATCTAATATGAGAATCGAGGACCTTCAAAAGCTCAATGCCTAGCAGATTTTGTGGCTGAACTCACCCCAACCTTAATAGAGGAAGAACAGGTTTGGACCTTACACGTTGATGGATCCTCCAACATTAAAGGATGTGGTGCAGGGATCATTCTAGAAGGCCCCAACAACGTCACCATTGAGCAGTCTCTAAACTTCGGGTTCAAAACCACCAAAAACCAAGCAGAATATGAAGCATTGTTGGCAAGACTGAGGTTGGCATAGGACATTGGTGTGTAGAAGGTAAGATGTAATAGTGATTCAAAACTCATGGTGGAACAACTTAGTGGCGTCTACCAAAACAAGGACCTATTGCTGCAAAGATACTACCACGAAGCATCCCAATGGATGTCACACTTCGAGGGATTCACGATACATAATGTGCCTTAGGAGCAGAATGTCAGGGCCGACCTCCTATCCAAGCTCATTAGCACAAAGCGCCCTGGACAACATATGACCATCAATCAAGAAACAATCAACTCCCCTAGTCTAGATGTCAAGGTTGTCGACGTTAACTACAACGAAGATAGGGAGTGGATGACTAACAACTGGAACTACTTGTAGAATGGGACACTACCTGAAGACAACTCAAAGAACCAAGGTAAGATCGTCCCAATTTGTTATTGTAACAGGAGAGCTCTTCAAAAGAAGCATCTCGACCGCTTTGCTCAACTACCTAATGAAGTCTCAGGCAAGTTACGTCATTAAAGAAATTCATAGAGGCATATGCGGCATGCACTTTAGCGCACGCTCCATGGTAGCCTGAGTAATCTGAGCTGGGTATTATTGGCTTATATTGAAGTCAAACTGCAAAGATTATGTACAGAAGTGCAAAGCATGTCAGTATATCAACAATTTGGTAACATACATCAGCTCCCACCAGAAGACCTCCACTAGATGACGTCCCTATGGCCATTCTCCCAATGGGGAATGCACATCCTCGGACCATTCCCCCCTGGCTTATATTGAAGTCAAACTGCAAAGATTATGTACAGAAGTGCAAAGCATGTCAGTATATCAACAATTTGGTAACATACATCAGCTCCCACCAGAAGACCTCCACTAGATGACGTCCCTATGGCCATTCTCCCAATGGGGAATGCACATCCTCGGACCATTCCCCCCTGCCAGGGGCCAACTTAAATTCCTAGTCATCGCAGTCGACTACTTCACCAAAAGGATTGAAGCATGCCCACTTGCCAAGATCACCACTGAGAACATCCAAAAATTTACCTGGAAGAACATCATCTGCCGATATGGCTTGCTAAACTCCTTCATCACCGACAATGGGAGACAATTCATCGGCCAAGGTTTTGAAAGCTTCCTTCAAGAACTTGGCGTTAAGCACCAGGTCACCTCAGTCGAGCACTTACAGACCAATGGCTAAGCTAAATCCGCAAACATGGTCATACTCAGATAAATAAAAAAGAGGTTAGGCTGAGCTAAAGGACAATGGGTAGATGAACTCTCGAGCATCCTCTGGACGTACCATTGCACCCCACAATTAACGACACAAGAAACACCTTATAGACTGACATATGGCTCCGACGCCATGATCCGAGTTAAGGTTAGAGAGACATCTCATCAGCGACTTACTTTCAATAAATAACAAAACAATGAAGAAATGGAAACCAACCTCGATTTGATTGACAAAGTCAGAGAAGGAGCCCAAGTCAGAGAAGAAGCTTGCAAACTCTGAGCTTCTAGGAGATATAACACCAAGGTCAAACCACAAAAATTTTGAGCTGGGGACCTTGTATGGCGATTACGGGGAGAAGCAAGGACGGATCCCTCCAAAGGGAAGAATGCCGAAAGCCCGTTTCGGGCCGGTGGCGACAACTGGGAAAGACCATTCAGAGTCACCGAGGACCTCGACAATGATGCATATCAGCTAGAGGAACTTAGCGGCAAAGCTCTCCCAAGAACTTGGAATGCCACCCACCTCAAATTTTATTTATCTTAAATTGTAAACTCAGGTGATGTACTCTTTTTCCTCCTCAGCCTTTTTTCCCACTGAAAGGAAGAAAAAGGTTTTTGGCCGAGGAGGTTTTAATGAGGCACACTCAAGAAACATCAACAAAGCAACTTCGTTACCATATACTTTCAGTATTAGTGCACTGGCATTTAAAAGCATGACAACTTGCTAAGGTCGAATTCAAACCTTGATGTACCAAGGTCAAGTCTGAACCTTGATGTTACATTTTCCTAGCTAAGGTCAAATTCGAACCTTGATGTCATATTGTCGCAACCCGAAAATTTCCGATCTTACGACTAATGGTTTATACATCCTTTTAAAAGTCTCATTAATTAAATAATGCCCGGACACCAGACTAATCCTTAATTAATGGTTTTGAAAATAGGTTCATGGAGTCGCCACCAATATTTTACTCAAAACATTGGAAAAAGAAAAGATTTTTAAAAGTCCAATAATGGCCTTGATAACTAGAATTGTTACATGTAGGGAAGGTATTAAGCACCCTTACAACGCCCTCAATCGGTACCCTACGATGAAGTTAATGTGATAAGAAATAATAAATTAAATATTAGATCCCCTTTATTAATAACTATTAACATACTTGAAATTTAAATAATACGATTAACCCTAAAATGTCTACATGATTATTTTTATTGTAACAATAATTATTATAGATAAGAAATAAAAAAAAGAGAAAGAAATTAACTGAAATACCTCTTGAATGAGCTCTATTGGATCTTCAAAATAGGGAGATTTCAGGTGCTTTGTGGCAACCTTTCGCACTACAATTGCCTCACAACACTCAAGAAATACAATAGGAGAGAGACAGAGAAAAAGAGAGAAATTTCGAGCTCTAAGGAGTGCTGGACGAAATTTTTGGGGTCCTCAGAAATGTGGTCGAGATTTCTATTTATAGGCATCAGATGTGGGTTGGAACGGCCCGTTCTGGATTCGGAACGGCCCGTTCCGAATCCGAACATTATGTATCATTTTGGTATCCTAGAACGGCCCGTTCTGAAATGAGAACGGCCCGTTCCGGGGTACAAATTTTAGGCTCTTTCATTGGTTTGGAACGACCCGTTCTGATCTAGAATGGCCCGTTCCAACCTACATTTTTTATCCCTTTTGATTGGTTTTGGAACGGCCCGTTCTGGTCTAGAACGACCCGTTCCAACTGACAATTTTTAGACCTTTTAGAAGCCTCAGAACGGCCCGTTCCAATTCGAGAATGGCCTGTTCCGGACTTGGGAATGGCCCGTTTTGATTTTGGAACGGCCCGTTCTAGGCCACTTAAAAAAGTTGATTTGGCCTTTTGGGTCCTCTGATGTCCTATCTTGTTTGTATGCCCCCGAACGAAATTAGGTGTCTACAGCTGCCCCTCTTTACTTGTCCTTTGGAATAGTTGTGTTGCTTTTTCAAAGGCAAGTAAAGACGTAGACATTACGTCCGGGTCTTTTTCTCATCTCTGTGTTGATGCTTCTACATTGCTTCCCTTGGACAAGTGTATTTGCTCGTATCCTCACCCTTTAGAGCAGTTGAGAATTGATTGTGTACTCTATTAGGTAACAAGGTTGACAAACTGTATACCTGATCTTCAGTCTTCGAGTAGAAGCTCCATTGTTTCTCTTGTGATAATGTGTCACTTTATTTGTAGCTTGTTCAAGAGGGAGTATTATTATGGATGGCCTCTTCAGGCTACTGATAGTAATATTTTAGTATATCTTTATTTATGTGTTTTTACCTTATTTGATTCTTTTTAGTATCCTATATTCATGTTTTAGTTTAGTTTTGCATTAGTGAATCATTTAGGAATTAGTTATAAATTTTACTAATTTTCCGTAAGAATTTCCTGTTTTGACACAGTTTCTTGTACAAGCCATATCTGGAGCTATTCAACTCGGAATTTGGCAAACTTGGTGTCCCTGTAAAGATAAGACAGAGATCTACAATTCTCATGTTGGACGAAAAACCCAGTTTGGACATTTTCAGACCCAAAATCGTGCTTTAAAGTCGCGGCTCTGCACTGAATTGTTCAGCTTGTCATGAAACTGATTAGTTTAGTTAATTAGGCTTTTCAATTGTAATTAGTGGACTGGACCTTTGACTTTAGGCCCATTATTTTGTCTTTAAAACCATGTAATGATTCAGGAGTGGGTCTGGGGGGAAAAATCATTTGTTAGATTTTCAGATTGGAGATTACTTCCTGAAGAAGTTTCTCTTCCAAGTTCTCTCTTCTCTCTTTAGAAGCTTTGCATCTTTCTCTCTCTCATTTTCCTCTTACACGAATTTTTCTCTGTCTCACGGAATTTCTTTTCTCAATTGGAATTTGCTGCAACATGATAATGAGGCAAAGCTAATTCCTTAATCGGTTTAAGGTTTCAAGAACTACGGTAAATTTGAGTTTCTAATTTTTACCGAACGAATTCTTTCTTCTTCTTCTCCTCTTTTCTGTTTAGTTTAAATTCGGTTTTCATGATATTGAATCTCTGTTTTGATTCCTAATTGAAAATGAGAAGAAGTATTTTCTGATTAGAAATAACCTAAATCCCTAATTCAATCGGTTACTTTTCTTGAATTTTGTTGAAATTTGGAATGTGCGATTGTAGTTTCTGTTTTAATAAAATTCAAAATCTAGATTTAGAAAACTGTTTGGATTAATTTCGGATTGAATTAGATGGATTGAGAATTCGTATTCATTGTGAACAATGATGATTATACTGTAGGAATTGAAACCTTGAACTGAACTCTTATACTACTGAAATTTTGTGTTGATTTGATTTCTTTGCTTTCTTGATACTGTTCTAATTGTTTGTTTGAAAATTTCTCTCCCGAGTTCTAAATTGATTTACATACATGATTAAATTCAAAATACAATGTGCTTGTGTCCTTGAGAGATGACCTAGGTTAAGTCCTCTATATTACAGAAATTTGTTGAAGAACCTAGAATTGTTTGATAGTGATACGACTTAGCTATCAGCTACCTGCTGAACGATGAGTATTAGTATGTCTGCCTCTCCTGGCCGGTTGCTGATGGTGAGTATTGTTGTGCCGACCTTTCCAACCGCCTGCTGATATTGTGAGTATTGTTGTGTCGTCCTCTCCAGGCCGCCTGTTGATGTTGTGAGTATTGTTGTGCCAGCCTCTCCAGGCCGCCTGCTGATATTGTGAGTATTATTGTGCTGGCCTCTCCAGAACGCTTACTGATATTGTGAGTATTTTTGTGCCGGCCTCTTTAGGCCGCCTGCTGATATTGTGAGTATTATTGTGCTGGCCTCTCCAGAACGCTTACTGATATTGTGAGTATTTTTGTGCCGGCCTCTTTAGGCCGCCTGCTGATATTGTGAGTATTATTGTGCCGGCCTCTCCAGGCCGCCTGCCGATGCTGGTGATGTGATTGTCCCTTTTCTTTGGGAGGATGTCTACCACAAATCAAAAGTTGCGCGTGTCAGAGCAAGTACACCTACCAATCAGCAAAGGACAACGTCTTTGTAGCTACAATATTAGGAAAATACAGAGATATCTTAATGACAGACATGAAAGCAAATAGGTGGTACAAAAAGACCTCGTGGAACGTAGATTCAACAAGCAAACATTTAATGCAAGATCAAAGGCACTAAATGCAAGAATCCACGAAGCCTGTGCAAGCTAAACAAGAGAATTAGATGATGGCTAGTCAAGCATCAAAAGTTAAGACTAATCACGGATGAAAGAACATTCAACAAACACTAGATAAGGACTACTATAGAAAAGAGGAAATGGAGTATCATAAGAAAATCCAAGAATAAGATCAAACATGGAACAAGGAAAGTTGTGAAACCAGAAGATCAACTCTGATAAAAGAACAATTGCGACAAGGCACGACATGAGAACCAAATAATTCAAGCTAATCAAACAGACAGGGCACAATGTGTACACCAAACAACTATAAGTCCAATATCAGATAGATGTGTATCAAAGAGAAACCTCCAAGGCATCGTGAAGAAATGGACCAAGCATGACACACAAATAAGAAGAAGACAAAGATCCAAAACGTGAGAAACACATGAAGTGATTAGACGCAAATGGAAATTATCATGAAGAAAAGAATTAGATCTCAGAGAAAAGATTCAGACATCATCCACAATCATACAAGAATCTTTCAGCGTTAAGGGAAAGAAAGAAGGAGAAGGGAAACGAGTCAAAACAGGAAGCATGCATGTGTTAGAAAAAGTGTGTCGCTTTTTCATAAAAGGACAACACTCTATGAGTCACGAGACTAGAAAAGGACAAAAAGGCTCATAGATCTTTGCTAAAGTCAGAAATGACGAGTCAGATGAAGCAATCCTGATGGAGGAGGCCCATGGGCTAAGGGCCCAACTACTAGGGCTATGGCAAGGATGATGCATGAAGAGTGGGCCCAAGCCCAAGGAAGGCCCGCCACTTTATTTTGTTGGGCTTTGTCTCAAGCCCATTAGACTAGGGATAGTGTAGGATTGGGCCTTAGTGCCTTGTATTTTCATTGGGCCTTGTATTTCCGGCCTTGTAGTTTAGGAATTACATTTAGAGGTCATTAGAATTTAGGGTTAATTAAGGTTGCATGTGAATTATCATTAGCATGTAATTAACTTGGCATTTGAGAGGCATTTCGGCCATGTGCACACATGCACATGGTGTGACTTAAATGCAACTCAAATGAGAAGCTAAATTACATGCCAAATGATGAAGCACATGGAGGTTCCTGGTTTGGCTCCTAAAATTTGAATTTTGAATTCAAATTTTAGGCGCCTAAGGTTAAGTAACCATACCATGGTCTTACTTAACCTTAGGCTAACCCAAGGAACCATTTAACCTAATTTTACCCTATATATTCCTTATGGCCGAGCATTGTATTCACTTTTGGACTAATTAAATGAGATTTCTCTTCTTAGAACTCTCCCCTCCGAAAGTCACCTCTTCCTAAAACTCTACCCTACTTGAGATCCTCTCCTTGTAAAGTTAGGAAGCTTACTCTTCTCCGGACTTAGCTTGAAGCACTCATAAGTCACATTGAAGCTACTTGGAGTCTCCCTCCTTGAAGTTCTTCCAAGGAATCCGAGAAGCTTTAGAAGTGTACTTGAGATTTCCAAGTGGAATCTCATCAAGTGGTATCAAGAGCATTCGGTTCTTCAAGAGATAAGTTCATTTCCTTGTCTTTTGAAGTGTGGATCCGTGGTTCAATATTGTCATCTTGTGTTCATCTTTGTTCATCTTTGTGTTCATGTCATTTTAGAGTTGATTCCTTCCTAGATCTATTTTTTTGTCTTAAAATTGATGGATCTAGTTTCGGTTTTGCTTGAATGATTCATATATGCATTTTACCTTGAATAATAAGGGTTTATATGGGTTATATCGAAAAATTGTGTAAAATTAATTGCATATGAAACTGGCTATCTGTAGGAGGTTTGTAGTCCACTCCACACAGACCTAAAAGTCTCTTCCTATCACTGTTAGTAGTCTTCCATCTCCCTCAGTAAAGTATTCAGAACACATTTGGATGCATCTAGATTGTTGTCGGGATTAGAACTGTTTGCATGTCATAGGTGTCAAACTGTCAGAGTTAGAACAAGTATTTGTGATGGAATAAGCTGTAATTTCCCTCTATTTTGGCAATTGTCTCGCGTTAGAATGCCAGATGATGAGATCATATCTTTTTTAACTTCAATGGGTGTGGATTACGGTATGATGATATTAACCTATCAATACCAGAGACCTATGCCCTTTACCTTTCCTCATGAATGATTAAATGACTATAGACAGTGTTTGAGTTGTCTGAAATAAAAATGTTGCGTGCCATCTGAATTTTCAGGTTGATCAATCCTGTGGTTGTATCCCCAACTATTGCTGCAGTTGGACTTTCATTTTACAGTTATGGTTTTCCGCTAGTTGGTACATGTCTCGAGATTGGTGCAGTGCAGATATTAGTGGTTATTGTTTTTTCTCTTGTAAGTTTGTTGACTTTCAGTTCCCTCCTTTTATGGATGAATCATTGCACTCTGCTAACATGCTTAATCTATTCTTTCTTGCTTTTTGCAGTATCTTCGTAAGATTTCTGTTCTTGGACATCGCATATTTCTAATATATGCAGTAAGTTTAATGTTACAATATCCTTCCGATTTACTAGTCAGAAGTGAACAAAAATATTTCTGTTAACTGTGATTTTTCTTTTCTTCACCTAACTCCAGGTTCCTTTGGGTCTGGCAATCACATGGGCAGCTGCTTTCTTGCTGACTGAAGCGGGGGTCTATAACTACAAAGGGTGTGACATAAATATACCCGCCTCAAATATGGTTTCTGAGCACTGCAGAAAGCATGTCTCAAGGATGAAGCATTGTCGAGTTGATACTTCTCATGCATTGAAATTATCCCCATGGTTTAGATTTCCTTATCCATTACAATGGGGTACTCCTGTCATCCAGTGGAAAATGGCTCTTGTGATGTGCGTGGTTTCCTTAATCTCATCTGTGGATTCGGTTAGCATTTTTTCCTTATTTTTCCAATTTTATTTCCTGGACTGTATTTATTTATCTTGACACTGAATCTATTGATGATTTAACTTCATTGTGTTCAGTCAGAAAAGATGATCATGTATTGGGTGTCTACTCTCTAGCTATCTTTTTAACGTGCTAGTAATATAATATACGTGAAAAACGGTTTCTTTCTTGTATGATACAAGCATTAACGGAAATTATGACTTGTACCTAACAAAACTATATATGTTTAATATATGATGGCTTGACTTGTATGCTGAAGTAAGAAACTTGAATATGATATTCACTATATTACCGTTGTCACTTGATTTTAATTGCAACCTTGAAATCAAAAGGTAAAAACTAGTGAATAGAATGTAGGTAGGCGTATAGTTTATGAAATGCAAAGAAAAATAATGGTTGCGATCTTGTTTTCACCTTATGACATTTATAATTTTTTTTTTTCTATTTTCATTGTTAGTAGTTACCATCTGTGAGGGTATTAAAGTATGGTTTATACTTCAGTTTAGGAAATCAAAGCATTGATGGTACTGATTGTGTAATCACTAAAGTCAAAATTTGAAACTGCAAAAAGCTATTTTGTGATTTTATTTATTTTGAAGATATTATCTATTCTAGGTAAGTCAAAGAAAAACATGTATCTATGAGAGATTAACAATATAACATATCAAAATTGGAATCATATTTTCATGATTTTTTTTTCTTTCTATATGTCTGATTATATATCCACTTTATGTATTTGTTGATATTCTTTTATTTTAAATTTTGTAGGTTGGTTCATATCATGCATCTTCATTATTGGTAGCATCCAGACCTCCGACTCCCGGAATTCTTAGTCGAGGAATTGGTTTAGAAGGTATTTGTAGTGTCTTGGCTGGTCTCTGGGGAACTGGAACAGGGTCTACTACCTTAACTGAAAATGTTCATACAATTGCTGTCACCAAAATGGGAAGTCGCAGAGCAGTTCAATTGGGTGCCTGCTTTCTGATAGTGTTGTCTCTCGTGGGTAAGTGTCTGGTGTCCTTTTCTTGCATCTACTTTTATCAGTTTATCTTGTGATGAATAGGTTAGCCACTAAACAGATGTGCATTTATTACAATATGTTTTAGATGAAAAATCATGTGCAATGTATCCTGGTTTTTCCCTTCAAAAAGTTTAGAACAATTAGCAAAGCATATGATGCTTGTAAACCAATTTTTTTTCATTAATCTTGTTTGTGGCATCCAAGTGAATCCTTAGTTATAATTATTCAAAGTGATTTGCAATGAACTTTAAGGGTCGCAGTGACTTGTACTTATATCAGGATTTCTTATGTCTCTATTGCAATTACTGTAGAATTTTGTTATTACAAATTTAACATGTTTTATTTTACTTGTACTGGACAGGTAAGGTGGGAGGGTTTATTGCTTCAATTCCTGAAGTCATGGTTGCTGGTCTCCTATGCTTTATGTGGGCAATGCTTTCAGCACTGGGCTTGTCAAATCTACGCTATAGTGAGGCTGGAAGCTCTCGCAACATCATCATAATTGGGTTATCGTTGTTTTTCTCTCTTTCCATACCTGCCTACTTTCAACAATATGGTATCTCTCCAAATTCCAATTTGTCAGTGCCAAGTTATTTTCAACCCTACATTGTGGCTTCTCATGGGCCTTTCCGCACCAAATATGGAGGGGTATGCCTTCGTGTCATGTTCTTGTACTATTGTGAATCTTATGCTTGATTTTTTGATGGTGCCATTTTCTGCGATCAAAATCTGTTATTACTGTAGGACTTAGCAGAAATATTGGGGGGAAAAGCCCACTTTTGTCTGTTAGGTCATGTTATATCTATCTCCATTTTTTTGTAAATAAGTAGAAACTATCTTCATAGTCAATGGTGACATAGGTAGTTGCTTGCATACGTAAGTTTTAAGATCAATTTTCTACTACCAGTTTTCATTAAGATTTCTGCTTGCGTAAACAGCATCCTTTATAAAAGAATCCTGCATGTTATTTCATGGTTGCTAACTTGTAAATGCTGCAGTGATTGTCATTAACTACTTTATGACATGATAAATTCGTGATGCAGTGAACTAACTAATGAGTAATAATAAATATATACGGTATTGGAGAGTCCTTGTAACGTGGTTTCCTTTTTAACTTTTAGCACTTGAATGCTGGTTACTCCTTCCATTTTGAAGACAAATTTTAATACTGTTGGTTTACATGTCAGGTTTTTCTAAACATCACTTATGAATCCGTTTTCTTTTGCAGTTAAACTACTTCCTGAACACAATCTTTTCACTACACATGGTGATAGCATTTCTTGTGGCTGTGATCTTGGATAATACTGTGCCAGGCAGTAAGCAGGAACGTGGGGTATACGTTTGGTCCGAACCAGAGGTTGCTAGAAGCGAGCCTGCTGTTGCTAATGACTATGAGTTGCCCTTGAGAGTTGGTAGGCTTTTCAGATGGGTGAAGTGGGTTGGCTTGTGAATGAAAAAGGTTTTGTTGGCTGAACTGAACATCTTGGGCTCAATCATGGGTAGTTTAGTTGATCATGTTACAGAGTCAATTTGTGTACATTGGAGTTCCGGAGGGGTCTATTTGTGTTATAATTTATTAGATTAGCATGTATCTATCTAGTTTTGATTCATTCAAAATCTCCATATGGAGGCTTTTCTTCCTTGCTTTAAGCTGGCCTTTCACAAATCATCCTGGTTATGTATATATATAATATATAATTATATATACACATTATACCTGCTCAATCGGGACTCAAAAGTTTTTGTTAAATATATTTATATTTATTCCGATCTACCTACTATTTTTTGGCAAGTAGCTGTTGTATATTAGTTGCCAACCTGGAATCTAGTTTATTTTGATTCTTTTAATGAGTAATGACCATCAAAAGCTCAGAAAAAAAAACACTAATTTTATATAGGTCTAAATATGTTTTCAATCCCTTTGGTTGGAGATAAATTTGTTTTTAAACTCTCAAATTTAAAGTTAATTTTGTTAATTTGTAATTTTAAAAAAAATTGTTTTAATTTGTTTTAATCACTAGTATATCATTGGCAGAACAAATTGAATTTATTGTGTAACTTTTATTTGAATTTAATGTGTGTTTTTATTAATAATGATACTAATGAGTAATGACCTCTCAAGACTTTTATCAATGTCATTGTATTTATGAAGTGAAATCCTTGAAATTATGTTAGAACTTTTGTGCAACATAGGCTCATTTTCTGGAAGTAACAGCACGGTAGAATTAACAAACGGGATACTCAAGTCGCATTCTTAGCAATCCTTTTCAACCAATTACTATATCATAGAGAACCTGCTTCTACAACAGTTTTCTAAAAGCAGTGATCACAATTAATGTGTAGCATTGCCCGAAGAGAAAGCTCAAAGTGATATACCAAACCAATTATCCGATTTTCCATGGCATTGCAAGTTGCAACCAACTGACACCTTCATTCTGAAAAGAGGCATCAACATTTAAGAAGCAAGCTAAATACTTGAAGGGTTTTGACACCATATTCCTTTGGATGCCTGAGGAACACATTAGCTTCGTACTAAAGGCCTGAAAATGACCTTACTTTGCCACAGTAAAAAAGGTAAAATTATTAGGGTCTGTCACTTAATTGACTTTTTATTCACTCAGCTTTTCGTACGTGCATTATATAAATGTCGTAACGGATTGATTCCTACAAAATATGGGCATTAATATAAACACTGTACACACAATCAGAATTCAGAATATAAATACTACATTATCACGAAATTTATATTGTTTTAGTAAAATGATTAATTTACACCAACTTTTGGAGTGTATGAGCGGAGAAAAGAGAGATATAGAAAGTTTTTTGTTTTTTTTTGAAAAAAGAGGTAAAATTAGAACGAGAGAGTAAGTGGTTATATATTTATAATATAAAGTATTTGATGCGTATCAAATACAAGAGGCTCCTCTTTTAAATTGCTGAATTGATAGATTGAAACTAAAGATGCATCCAAAAGCTAGTCGTGCAGGCAAACCTTCATATAATATATGATATTCAAATATGTGTCGTATATGGGGGGAAACATTAACGTGTACTGTAAGTCGTAACAATGGAAGGATCAATGCAACAAAATGGGTGTGACGCCTTCAACTTAATTGGTTACAAGTTCATGCGTAGTGAAGATAATGGTGAATGGAACATTAGGATCATTTTGGGTAAACTTTGCTATTTAATATTATTAACAATCTGTGGTTCTAAAGGAGGAGACTTATGTTACGCTAGTGTTAATCAATGTAAAATTCTGATATACTATACATTTATTGCGATACATTTTTGCTAATGCTGTGTCGGTTGGGGAGAACAACACATTACCTCAATTATAGTGTTAAATGAGCTAAAGTGGCTGGTTGCATTCACGTTCATAAAGGTGGAGAACACCATGATTCATAGGAGGATTAAAATCATATGGCTTAAAGATACTAAATGGGTTGGTGAAAATAGTGGTAATTCAGATAGTATAGGATTTAAACTATGATACACGAGGAAAGTCAGAGAAAAGAGTGATAATGTGGTATGAGTGTAATTATGGAGAAGTTTTTTTTTTTT